TATTTTAAATAAAAAATAATCAGTTTAAAATACATTTGCTTCCTATAAAACAAATCCGCTCATACAAAGAAAATAAGTTTTAAATTGAAAGACATATAAAAGTGCTTTAATATTGAATGTAATTATATTTTAATGAAGCTTTCTCTGATATTACTTTTTTAGAATAATTTTATTGATAAACAAATAGCAATGAGACAATTTCAAAACCGATTAGTAGCACAGTTTCAATAATTAATACATTGCATATTGTTGTCTTCTTAGTGGTTATTCATAATGCAAGATGCATACATGATAGTCTGTCAACAAACACTATTAGAACAAATCTTTCTATTCATTGAATTAAGAGAAAGTAACTGTATATCTATTCTAACTATTTTGTATACACAGATATAAAATGGTCCTTCATTTGGATCCCCTTTTTTTGTTTGGTTTTGTCAGAGAAGGTTATTCCATTGTCATTTAAATATTGTAGGTACATGAATTCAGCAAAATATTCCAATATAGTCCAGTAGTCCATAATAGTAGTGGGTTTTCCGTAGGTGATAATATTATTTGAGACAGATCTACAAAATATTCTAAATTCCTCATCATTCTCTTTTCTTTTTCCCTACAACACTTAGCTGGCTTCCTCTCTTCCTCCCTTCTTTCCTTCCTCTGTCTTTCATTTGTCAAGCTTTTTCTAGCTCTTTATCCATTTATTACCTTACGGTGATTAAAGATATAGAATTTTGGGGTGAAATGGCATGCATATTTGCAACATTTTGCCAACTTGCCCTTGAGAAATACTTATACAATTCATACTTCTATCTGAATGTGAGTCTCCATTTTTCCACACTTTCAATAAAGTCTTTGCCTTTTTTCTTTTAAAATGTGTTGAGCATTTCTCCAGTTAAATGTTCCAAAAGAAGTTAATATAAGAGACAAAGTAATGTATGAATATTTTTCAACTAAACAATTTCACTTTACCTGAGTTGGAGCAATCACAAAATCATTTACATATCTTTGAATTAAAACTTGGTGTAATAAAAGGAAATTTCTTTATAATGTGATACACCTCATTTAATAATTTTTTCATTAAATGATTCTAATGTGTTTTTATTGGTTGCACATTTAATAATATACAGCATACTGATTGCAAATATACTATTTCTGTTTAATGTAGGCTAATGAAAATAGATTTTATTCTTCTTAAATATACACACAAAATAATCTTCACTATAAATAAAATAAAACTACTTGCATAATTGTTTTAAAAGTTCTCTAGTAATCTGAAATAAAGATATGATGATAAAAATGCTGAGTAATTGAATAACTATTGTATCAGTTGATGGGTCCCCTGAGAATAGTCATATAATTGACTTCTGCTCTTATCATTTGTACCTATAAAAGATATCCTTAATCAATTTTAATTTGTTAGTTATTATAGTTATAGGTAGAAAGATAATCACATATATTTTCTTCAAGTTCTATGAAGCAAAGCACTCAATTTTTAGCAATATCATGACTTACGTAACAAATATGCATACCATGTTCCATAAATTAAGTCAATAGTCTTTATAGTTTCAGGTCTGTGTACATGTATTTATACATTTAATACGATAAAACAACCTTATCTAAAGTCTGAGAAATTTTATATTTAATATTTTTACATTGGCTTTAAAATAAATAAAATTACCAACACTTAAGTGATAGGGTAAAGAAACACTTTTTTCCTACTTTATTTCTAAAATTATATAAAATGTAATTATATAAATTATATCATTCACAAATAACACTAACATAAAGCATATAACAAAGATGACTATTTTACTGTCTTTTTTATTTTATGTATTTAGTACAGAGTCTATAGGGTCTCTGTACACAGCTCAGACTCATAGTGATCCTCCTCTTTTCAGCCTCTCAAGTTCAGTCTCAGTTGACTTCTCAGCATGCCCTGGGGGAAGGGCCAGCAAGGCATGCCAGGATCGAATCCCAGTCTCTGTACCTGCCTAAGCAGGCACTTTAGTCCACTGAGCTATCTGGCTGGCCCTCACTGTGTTTTGTTTTTGGTTTTGGTTTTTGGTTTTTGGTTTTTTGTTGTTGTTGTTGTTGTTGTTGTTGTTGTTTGTTTGGTTTTTTTTTGGTTGTGTTTTTGTTTTTTGTTTTTTGTTTGTTTGGGGTTTTTTGTTTTTTGTTTTTTGCTTTTTGGTTTTTTTTGTTTGTTTGTTTGTTTTTTGTAGTGCTAGGAATAGTACCAAGAGTGTTCCACCACTGAGCTGTGCCTTATGCTCTTTTTATGTGTTTGTTTGTTTTCACTGAGTCAGGGTTTCCCTAAGAAGGCCATACTAGCCTTGACCTTTTGATTCGTTCTTGGGTTTCCCAGTAGTTGGGAGATCAGAAATGTGCTGCTATGTTCAGTTTGTTACTGTATCTTTTTAATAATTTTTCTTTACAAAACAAAGGACTTAACAGTTGTCTAGAAAAAGTTAGATGCTATTACAAATGATAAACAGAAATGAGTTGTCATTTTATAGGCAAAAACCACATTACTATCTATATATTAAAAGAATCAGGAATTGTCATAATAATCAATAATAAAATCCAATCTAGGTAAGGATAACTTAACATATGAATCTGTTTAGATAGTTGATGATATCATACTTTAAAATCTTTTCTTTGATTGAATCAATTTAACAGAGTTAGGACAAAAGAAAGTCAATCTTCAATTACCAAAATGAAACAGATATTAAGTGAGTTGGCCTTGGGCACCTATTAAATCTATGTTACATTCACATTTTGCATTGTATGCCTTAAGATAAAAGGTTAAATTTAAAAGAATGAACAAATCTATAAATACTACAATATCTGTTCATATCAGAGGAAATCAAATTTCATGCATCATAGCATCATATAATTGCTTAAGAAATCCATATGGTTTTGTGTAATGTGCTGATTACAGTGTAATGTGAGATTTCTGTTATCCTTCCTTTGAAATATATGCTACTTTAAGATTCAGTAAGGCACATTTGATCAATTACTGGAATTAAACAATGTGATTAAACTCTTTTCATTTAGCAACCTGGATGTTCTGTAGTTGTGTAGTGACTTTGACCATCTCTGCCTTTGACTAAAAAATTACTGTCATTATAATGAAAATATTCCCCTCTCCTTCTAATGTCCTTTAGAAGCTAGTGTTGGATTAATGTAAAGAAAAACACATTTCACATTATTATAAGATTGTATATGTCTAAGGATCTTCAGAGATCCTGAAAATTACTTTTAAAGACAGTTTTAATTTTTTGCATCATTTTGAGGGGCAAGTAGGTGATAGATGTTATCTCAATTTTGAAAAATAGAAACCAATGGAAATATTTGCAAATTCATTGTTCCTAATTTAAATACTGAAGTAACAGAAAGCCACAGTAAAATCCTGGCCCTTAAGATTCTTTTTTATGCATTTAGTGCAGGGTCTGCAGGGTCTCACTACACAGATCAGACTTACAGTGATCCTTCCTGTTTTCCACCTCCCAAGAAATGGGAATGTAGGTGCATGCCACCACACTCAGTTTAAATCACTATCTCAGTGCACCCCAGGGAGTGGGGTCCGCACCACACACTGGGGATCAAACCCCGGCCCCTGTATCTGCCTAAACAAGTGCTTTAATCCACTAAGATATCTGGCCTGCACTCTTAAACTTCTATTACATATTCTACCCACATGACTATGCATAGGACAGTAAAGGCAGAGAGGGGGAAGAAAAACTGGGGAACTGTGACCCTTAACACAATTCACTTCAAAAGAACTTGATATGGACATTTAGTTGTTATTTAATTGACTGTGCTGTGCCTGTTTATATTAGAACCTCAAATATTTCATTTCCCTGAACCACGTTTGAGTCATCACGTGCTGAGCATGGTCAGGCACAGGCTAGAAAACAAAGCCAAAACTTGACAAATAGTGATGCAGTAGGTCCAAAGAGCAAAAGAAAAGAAGTAGAGTTAACTTTTAGCTTAAGATGGAGCTTCAAGTTGGCAATATACCTGGTTCTTTAAAAAACTAATAATAATATAAAACTATAAAACAAAGCAAGCCTCCATGCAGATAGGGCTTACCAAGTATTCTTATTTGCCTGAAAAGTATTCTCCTGCTGTGGTTTCTTATTAAAAATTGGAGGAAATTTTCTTTATGCTGTTTCACTTTCTAACTTTATGTGCTCATAAAGGTTCATTGTAGCAACTTATTTAGTGGTAATACATTTGAAAATTCTTCGTAATGACTATTGTTCTTATTTTCCAGTTTTCTTTTGTGCAATAGCATACCAACTGACTTGTCTTCATTACCAAGGAAAGTTGTTACACTCACCTTACGGCCAAGAATACTAATATGTGAACAAATCCTGATGTTAAAATTCAAATTTATTTTTGGAATTTTAAACCTCAAAGAATTACTTAGCTTATATATTAGATGATTTCTTGATATTTGAGTACAATAAAAATAATTTTATGAAACAGGCATATGTTAGGGCCTGGGGAGATGGCTCAGCAGAACAAGCGCTTGCCTGGCAAGTGCAAGGGCCTGAGTTCAATCCCTGGTTCTGAAAAAAAAAAAAAAGAAGAAGAAGAAAAGAAAAAAGAAATAGGCATATATTTCTTATATAGTACTGATTCCCTAGATTAGGGTAAAGCATCTTTCACCTCTAAAAACTTTTGTCTATTAAGAATTCAGGTTTTCCCCCTAAAAATGCTAGAGCTTTTTATTAGCTTCATTGAAATTGGTAAAATGGTCTTTAGTAAAATTAGGAAGCATAAAATCCCAAACAAATCTTTTAAAATGTGAAAGCAGTTAAAAATTAGAATCTTTAAGCAATTATTTTTTTAACTTTATGTCTTCTGTACTCTAAAGAGGTAAGAGTAATGTTAAGCAGAAGTTTGCCATCATCAGTTATTTTTTACCATCATTTATTTTAACATGGAAACATTATGCTTTTACTCCTAACCTTAACAAGAAGATCTAAACTTACCTGGCCCATCTGTCATTTTTTCCAGGCAACGAGGAGCTGCACTAAGGAAGGAGGCATGTTTTCTTTTAGCTACCAAGCTGCGAGGTGGCATGTATTTATGTTTAACTTGAGACATTTCATATGATTTTTGGACATCATAGCTGCCTGGGGCTGGAATAACCTAGAATAAATTTTAAAAAGATGAGTATAAATAAACCTTGCATGAACATTTTCAAGTAGATTCTCTCAGAGCTCCCTGCTACCTTGCGCTGGCGGGACCAGTCCCAGCCCAGGCACAGCAAGGGCCGGACCCACTCCCACCCCCTTGGGATGCCCTGCACCACTCCGCAGACCTCCCACACCCCTCCCAGCAAGTGAGAATTTCTGCCTCATTCCAGGAAGCCACAGACCCAATCCCAGCCCAGATCCCCTGAGGGTGTGGGAGAGCTTTCTGCTACCCTGCGCTGGTCGGACCAAATACCAGTCCCAGCCCAAGAGCAGTGTGGGCCAGACCATTACCACCCCCTTGGGATAACCCCACCACTCTGCAGCACCTCCCCCACCCCGCCAAACAAGTAGGAATTTTGCTGCGCCAGGAACCCCCAGACCCAGTCTTAGCCCAGGACCTGTGAGTGTGTGGGAGAGCTTCCTCTTCCCCCTAATTCACCTTGCACCCTCCAGGAACAGCTCTCCCCTCCAGGAACAGCTGAGGCCTGGAATACAAGCCTGGGGTATAACTCTGCAGCTGCAAGCACTATACAGAGTGTAGAGGATAGATCCACCCAGCTAGTCCAGGAGCAGAACATCTTGCCACAGGAGCAAAACAGGTTCACCCTCAAGGGCAACAGTGGGAAGGAGCTGAGCACAGCAGCCAGACCCAAGCCAGACACAGCTGGATAAGTCCAAACTTTGTAGAGCTGCACCTGAACTTCAGTACCTGCGAAGATTATAACTACAGCAAAGATCTACAACAAAGGTCAGAAGACAGTGCTACACAAAATGACGAGAGGTAACAAAATGCAACCGCAGAACCCAAGTCCACCCGTAACAAGTGCAGAGGACACTAACACAGAAAAATTGGGAATCACACAGCTGAAAGCAATGAATCAACGGCTTCTGAAATAAAGAAACAGCTGCAGAAAGATATAGAGGACCTCAGCTTGGAAATGAAAAAATAAATCCCTGAATTAATAACATCTGCACTAAAGAATCAAATGCAGAAACAGATGGAAGAAACCCAGTGCCCACCCAGAACAAGTGCGGAGGACACTAGCTCGGCTCAAATGCATGAATTAATAGCGTCGATAGTAAATAAGCAACAGCAGAAAGATATAGAAGAAATCAGAGTGCAATTCTTTTCTGAAATAAAAAAAGAACTCTCAGAATTCATAGAATCTGAAGTAAAGGAGCAACTACAGAAACATAGGGAGGAAACCTAATCTGAAAAAAACACTGCAGGAAAAGAATTTATAACTGGTTCTAAAGAAAATATTAATAAAAATATAGAGGAGATTAGAAAAATGACGGATTCCTTGAATGAGCAATATAGGAAAGAAAGAGAACGCATGAAGCAGAGTCAAAGAGATATAAAGGAAATTAAAATCTCAATCACAAGCTTGCAAAACTGTTTAAGTGAATGTGAAGACAGAGTTTCAGATCTTGAAGATGCTGGTGCAGCTAGTGAAAAGGTAAGAAAGGATCTGTTAAAAACAACGAGGATGCAGGAAAGAATAATTCATCACCTGCAAGATGATGCAAAGATGAACAACGTGAGACTAGTAGGCATCAATGAGAAAGAAGGAGTCAATACAAATGACATTAAAAAAATATGGGCAGAAGTAAAGCAGAAAACTTCCCAAATATGAGGAAACAATCTGACATTCAGGTAACTGAAGCATACAGAATACCAAGGAACCTCAACCCAATGAAAAACACACCGAGACATATAATAGTCAAGAACCCAGAAATTCAGCACAAGAATAATCTACTGAAAACCGCTAGAGAAAAGAAGCAGATCACATTCAAAGGAAA